CATTTAAGCCCTCCCTCATTTTTACACTCACAGAATTACAATCAAACATCGACTTAACCAAGGTAAGTCTCGTTTAATTTTAAATTTTGTCAAATTCCTGGATATAAGATTGTAGTCTATGCTAATTATATAATAAAAATGTTAATTTAAAAAGTTTACTGTGCACTACTTGTAAGGCATTAAATACCAATTTCCATTTCATGTCTGCAAGAAAGAGATACATCTATGAGTAAACAGTTTACTACATTGGCATTCTCTGATTTAAGGGTCAAAGAATGCCAAAGTGGAGAAAGAAGGTCACCACAGGTTGAAGTTACATGGCCGTGGCTCCAAGTACTCCCGCCTGGATGCAGAGAGGCTGTTCAGAAAGCTGGTGATAGAGGGCATATTGAAAGAGGATCTCATGATAACCAACATGGACCATACTGTGGCTTATCTGAAGTTGGGAGCAAGAGCCAGTGAGCTGATCATGGGGAAAATTAAGGTACGACGTTGTGCCATCAGAGAGTTCTTAGTGTAATCATATGCATTATTTTTTCTCTTTAATTCTTGACTGATTCCCAAGTAACTCTAGGATTATTTTCAGTGCAATCTCAGATTTGTTTTCCAAGAAGCATTACGCTGCTGGAGATTTATTGTCAAATGTTGAAGAATTTGATTTACCAAAAATTAAGAATATGTCAGAGTGATGCCAGAATTTAAGATTTAATGTTATCATTGTATTTTGTATATCTATTTGCATTTGATTTTTAACATGATTAAGATTTGTATGCCAATATTGGGAAATAATTGACCAAATTAATTTTATATGCATAATATCAGCATGTTAACTGATATAATTTTTTGTAACAAATGACTTCCTAGTGTGTTATTCTTTTGTATTTCACCATATCAGAACATATAACTCCAAGATTATTGTATACCTAAGGTTGAACTAGAAATCCAGCAAGGAAAAACTAAAGTCAACACTGACGTTGAGGTGGATGACCAACAGTCTGCACTGACCACTGAGTGCTATAAGGAGCTGGTTTGTTTGGCCAGGGATATAGGTAAAATTGTTATAAATAAATGTATTTGTTTTTTGAGAAATAAACAGTATTTAGATTAGTTATGTCCCTTATGATTCAGATAATAAACCTACAAGGGAATGTTTTGTGTTGGGCACATAAGCACATGGATTGAGATAAATTTTTTTTTTCATTCTCTTTACCTAGGTAAATTTATTGTAGGTATAATTAAATCAATATCCAATTTATATTGGATCACTGGGCATCTTTTGTGGATCCAGAACGAAGATTTTTTTTAAAAAAGATGACAGAGATTTTATTCTCCTATTTTGATTTCTAGCCAAGTCCCATAATATAGGCAGCTACACTTCTTTTGTGTCCAGTATGGCCTTACAGAAGATGGCCGAGCTGACCCCAGCCACTCCCCTAGAGATGCAGAGTGTGGAAGGATTCCCAGCACAGATCTACCAGAAATATAATGGAGAGAAGTTCCTGGCTGTTACTAGCAAGTACAGGCAGCAGAGAGACAGTAAGCAGACATTTATAAATAATAATAAAGGTTTTGTTTCAGCACAGTATCAACAAAAGTGTTCTGGATATGTTTCTTGAAGTAACTGGTCCTGATCAGGATCTTTTAACATAGATCTCTGTAGCATTTATGGAAAAGAAGGTTAGAATTGCATTCGGACAACCATAGTGAAACTTACCAGCCAAATATAATTGATATACAAATTTGAAATGAATTACTTATTATTCCCCCCCCCCCCTCTGGATTTGTATTCAGATTTGCTTCTTATTACAGGCTTGGTCATCACAGAATTTGAGGAGGAACCTGAAAGTTCTAGTACTGGCAGACAGGTTTGTAGACAGAACGTTTAAAACCCCTGTGTAGTTTAAATAGTAATTTTTTTTTATGTGCTGGGTATGAAATTTTATATTGCATCTAGAAAGAATATTGTAAGGTTTGAGATAAGAAATATTGACAAACTTTCATTTGACAAATTCAGGCTGTTTTTTGCCTTTTTCAGGCAAGAGGCACTAAAAGAAAGGGTAAACGAAATTTCAATGCCAAGTCCAAGAGATTCAAAGCAGCAAATAAGTCAACAAAAACCAATACAGGGTAAGATATTGTAAAAGGGCTTTTGTAAGCACTGTTGACAAATGTACAAGAGTTTCAATTTCCTCCAGTCTTCAGAAGGAATCATCAGCTTTTGACACAGTTTTAATATTTTTCATTACATGTTCAACATACACAGTTGAAATCTAAGATAATAATGGATTTAATAACTAGTAAAAGGAATAAGGGAAGGATGGGTATTTAGACTATATTATTATTATTAACTCTCTTGAATTTCTAAAAGAAAGAGACTGGCTTTACAGCCTGATATACTCAATAAATGAGATTAGCTGGCTTCACAATTTATGCCTCATCTCTGGACATTGTCGCAGCTTCATAGAGAGCATAAAACCTAAGCAGTTGCAAACATGTTGTGCGTACTGCAGAGTCAATCATCCACAATTACTTGCACTACCATGACCAGGTTGAAATTTACTGTCAATGTTTTTTCTTCAGGGGTTCATTTAATCAGTTCTCCTATAATAAGAGTAAATCTGGAGGGGGAAACAGAGCAGGGCAGAACAAGGCAAAGAAAGCTGGCACAGGAAGAAAACTTGGGATGATGCCTGACCCGACTCCAGGTCAGTGGAAAAGCACTGATAACTTTTATTGACTTTTATGACTTATAATTGTGACTCAGAACTTTTTTCACCATTATATCAAAACAAACGAAGAGCAGGGTCTGCGTTTGAAAACAATTTTCAGAAGTGAATAAACTTTTAGTTTTATAGTGGGCATGTAAAGAATATAAGGAAAAAGTTGTTACAAAAGTGTAGTTACAAAATGGTTGAGGATACTGAGGATCCGATGCAAAAGGTAATTTTATTTTTATTTTGCATATTTGAAAGGATTGCTACAAGTGGTAAGCAGATTCTTACTCACACCTATTATTTTAAAGATATCTGTCTGCTTTATTTGATTTTTATTTACCAAATTTTGTCACAATATTTCTGTCTGTTATTTATATTGTATGTTATGTTTTTAGTCACTTTATTTTCTCTTAGAATTTTAGAAATGAATAAAGAAAAATACTACAACTGCCACTGTTTATTTTACTTTATTTTACCCATTACATAAACCAATAAAAAAACCTGAATATCAGAGTATCAATGTATTGCTAAATTATTTCAATGCTATAGAGATCAGTATCACAATTAGACATTGTGCTGTTAAATATTTGAAAAGGAATTAATCTACATCTGCCCCCCGTTTCAGAGTATTTACTAGTCTATAAGATACTGTTTAAATATCTCTCGCATATGCTGGAGTAGAATTTACACAATAACTCTGAAATCCGGAACATCAATATCAGTTCATCATAAATACATAAGTAAATTGAAATGGAGGAAATAAAAAATATCACAGAAATGTAGTATTACCCATTGGTATACATGCTCACTTACATGTACAGAATATCGTCAGTTTAATCTGACTCGCTGTTACATATTATAGATGTATAACATCACGTATAATTACAAAATGTTAAAGGGAAAGATATAAAATTTATCTGAGTAGTTATGATCTATAAAAAAAAAGGATTGAAAATTACACTACAAAAAAAATATTATTTTTGTAAAAAAAATGTATCACTCCTTTCATGTATTCTGAATACATGGCATATAAAAAAATCTTTACTGACTGTAAAATCCTGGAATGTCTTCACACAACGGCCATCACCTGACATTTCTTGTGTGCACTATACATGGCATGTCAATATGTACAACTAGCTACAAATTAAACATCAGTATAAAAATGGAATGTTATCTTAAAATCACTTATTGGTTGGGTACTATGCACAATCTTATATCCAAACAAAAAAAAAAAAAATGTAGGCACAGACATGATGTAAATTTGTTTGAACTTGACCAAAGTAATAGTGTAAAATATATACAATAGCAACTGTAAAAATCCACAATACTTTGTAAAAATATTTATAATCAAAATACCTAAATATATATACGTAGTAATATATATTACACAAATGTAAAACTATACAATCATCATCTCTAATAATGGTGTATAAATATGAGATAAATCTGCACATATGCATGCAGCTTTAATCATTCGAATTACTTGGTATTGAATTAATTAAAAATTTCTACACATTCTAACAGTGTTATGCTCTCTACAGACATATTTTACATATCTGTAATAAGTAAACCAACTTCAACATCTTTCAATACCTTTCTCCACATGCCATCACAATAAAATAATAAATAAAACGGTATTAACAATATTTGGTGAAAGTTCACTATATATCTACATCAAATGAAATGTTTCAGCATTGAAATTACTTGTTATCGTCTTTGTGCTGAGCCTTTCCTTCTACCTTTGGCTGACACTGGTGGCAAACCCCCCTCTTCATCTAATCCAGAGTTTCTTCTTGCACTGGCACTGGGCTGTCTTTTCTTGGCACTGGTAAAATAAATAAATGAAACCAGTTACAATGAAAGCAAGATGGCTCATGACACTACCATTCCTAGTTGCTGTTTGAAAGGTAATTTCACAAAGGTAATTTCACACATTTAGTGACAGAACTGCTGTTTTGTTAAAAACCAAAAACTATACTGTCATTTAAACCTAAATAACTGTTTCCTATAAATGCAGAGATTTTGAATCTACAAATGAAGAGATGAAAACAGGTAACTTAAATTCACAAATTTAATATTAATCTGTACCAAAAAGTAATATGGCAAAAAAAAAAACATCCTCCATAAATTGATCATTCAAGGATTTCATATCTGCTTTATTTAAAACATTTCAAACAAATTTTTGTATTAGATGCTACAACACAAGTGAAATAGGAATATCAGCAAGTTAATACAAGCAAAGCCAAACAACAAAATTTTACCTTTTCTTGGCTGACTTAGTTTTTCTGGAGGCTTCTGGTGTGACATGCGCTAGTGTTGCCAAACGTGCTCGCTCTCCAAGTCCAGTTTTAGGCCTACAGACAGACATAGAGAAGTGGGGTGGGTTATAAGACTGGACGTAGTTTAAAGACACAGAAAAAGGTATTGTGAGGCCCAGTTCAAGTATGGATCCACACAGAGCACCAGAACTCCACAATACATATAAAGAACCAGCCAACCAAACAGTTATGTTTACCTTAATTGATGGTTTAATCTAGTTTAATACTGCCCATCTTCTACCTGGAGTGCAGTAGTAGTAAATTAGCATTCTCGTGCCCTTTACAAATACTTGTAATAAATAAATTATATAATTAATGCTTTTGGACTTATTTTCTTCTTCAAATTTCAATAAACGTTGGTGATTTTGATTCTTCTTTATGTTGAGAATTCATTTTAATAGTTTATCTGTCAGGTCAATAACTGAAAATAAACTCCTCATTAACGCATTTTATCAAAATAAGCTAAGCAATAGATTGAGAAAACTAAAAAAAACCACAAGTGTGACTTCAATAAAAATGTTATCATTACATTTGTCTCCTGCATTTAAGGAGCAATTTTTGTTTCCTAAAATATTTTTTCACTCATATCCTAGTGTTCCGTATATTATCGTACCTTTCATTTTTCTTGGTGGCATCATCCCCTTGATACACCATCTGGAGAAGCTTATTCTTTTCCTCAGTGTCCTTCATTGGGAAGAGCCAGTTGATCATGTCAGCAACCTCCTTCTCATTGAATTGACCAACCTTCACAAGACCACTTATAAATTCAAGTTCCTGGAAGAAAATCCAAATGTGCATAATTTTGGGGTTGTTTAAATAATGTAGGAAATTATTTTGTTTCTTTAAAGTCTGAAACATATGAACCAACAACAAAAACTTATAAAAACTCAAAATTTTGAGATCTAGCATTCAACTCTTTGGCAATATACTACAATAACCAAGCAATAAATTTCAAATATAAAAATATGAAATTTTAATTATATATCAATATCATCAAGTTGAAGAACATGTAGGAACTAAATGCCTACCTTCTGTTGAACGGCCTGCATGTGCTTCATATTGAATTCTCTTTTCATGCTCTCAATCTTCTGGTTCATTTCTGTGACTGCGTCATTTCTGAATTATAATATTAAATTTCAGAGATCATTATTTGTTCAAAAACAAGCATGAAAATTATGCATATCAATTTGTTAAAGAAAAAATCTACCAAATTTTATAGTTATTCAAATGATGCTGGTATTCTAAAAAGTTGGTAGACTTTTTCAAGACAAGAAATAAATATACAGTTAATTGTGACTAAATATTTTGTTAAAAGGCAATTGCTTTAAAAAAATTACCAGATGTGGATAAATCTGTAATTCTTTTGTTCATAAATGGATTAAAATTTGGCAAAAATATTCAAGAAAGATAAAGAGAAAAACTAGTAGTCCAACTAGTGCACACTGAATACTAACTTCATAGCCTCTAGCTCTGCTGCCTGTTTTATCTTCAGCGACACGGCCTTGAACCTGGCTGCGGTTTTGTTGGAAGTGGTTTGGAGAAGAGATTTGAGTTGGTCCTCATGCTCCATCATCATAGTCTTCTCTCTCTGCATCATTTTTTCACTTAATTTCTCTTGGAGCAGCTGGAAGGATGAATAATATATAAAAAAAACGGACCCAAATGTTTGTTTATTTAGTAAAGGAACCCACGAATATCCATTTATCAATTTGAAATCAATATCTGTTAAACATATGAATATATATTTTTCCAAAACAATATTAGTTAAATAATTTATAAATAAATGACACTAAAAATATTTGTCGACTATCATTAAAACTTACTGATCATTAATAAGACAAACACACCTCCATTACAATTTTTATCAAATGCATCAAAATCAACAAATGATAAGATAAACTGAAAAGCAACAAAATTAAAAAACAGTGCCAGCACACAGTTTTACTTTTAACTGACACTTCGTGTGCGAATAACAGAATTAAGCCAAAAGACATTTCCTAGCCTTATGTTACAAGTGCACCTTCAAAACATACCCTCTGTTGCCTTTCTTTTTGTTGCTCCAGCTTTTTATTCAATTGTTCCTGCTGTTCCTGGTGCTTCTCCAGCACTCGCTGAGTATCAGGGTCTGACATGACACCCTGGGTGTTTAGCTCCTCCATTAAACTGGATTTTAAGTTGAAAATAGCCTTCTGTTGTTGATCAATTTTAGATAGCTGAAAATAAAAAAAAGATTCTTTTAAAATTCATATACACATTGAAAGGAAAATCTAAGTTTATTAATTTTCTTTTGCTAACAAAGTTTTGTACAAAAATTTTGTTGAATCTTATTGGAAAATTTTATTGTTTGGTAAAAATGTACATTCATCCTATTTAGTTTGAAAGCTGAAAATAAGTGTCTGATTGAAAAAAAAATTTTTTCTGTATGTTCAAAGGTCCCAAATCATAAAAAATTCAGGCAATCACAAAATCATAAAAAATGGATAGGTTTTGAAAAAAACAAAACAAGGCCTGTTTTAAATTTAATCTATATTTTTACCCTCATATAAAAGTAGTTTGTATGAAGCAAGACAGGATTCTTTTGCAGAAATTTGCTGAGGCACTTTATTCTGTTCTCAGTTGCACAAAAATTTACCTCTTCTGCCTTCTTCAGCTGCATTTCTGCCACCATGGCTCCCAGCTGGTCCTCTTGAGCTTTTAGAGCAGCAGCACGCTCCTTGATCATATCTTCTCGTATCTAGAACAAACACAAGTTAAAATTCTGTGAGTCATACGCATCTCTTTCCCAAGGCTCCCTGTTCAAGTCAAAAATGGACAAAATACATGGGACTCAAACAAGGGGTGCCATGCAACTGTTTGACCCATGTATCTTGCTGTTTTAAGATACACTGTGGAAAAAAGCAGCAGTTCTTCAAGTGATATTCCCTGGCACAATTGAAAGAGTCATGAATTGACCCCTAAAACATTAAGAACATTTTTAAAAACTTGTTTTAATAGAAAATTATTGTTGTAGCACAAAATTCTTCAATCAAATTGCAAAAAAATGAATAACAGATGTTATTCAGTGCCAAGGAAGAGTTATCAGATTTCTCAGGAAAATGTAACTAAGAACTAGAAATTTTTTCATGAAACTGTTCACATTAAAGTTTTAGCATGATCTGTATGTTTACAGTGACTAGTAAGAATTACATAGCACCTCATTTGGAAGCCAAATATTTTTACCTGCTCCATTTCTTCTTCCAGTTTTAATTTGTCTCCCTGAAGAACAGCCAGTTTCTGTTCAGCATGTTTCCTCATCAGAGCAATTGCTGCTTGGTGCTGTTCCTCTTCTTCCTCATCAGCAGTCTTCAGTTTCTTTTCTACTCTCTATAAGAAAGAAAAATTAATTATCAGATATCTGTGAAGAATTCTTGAATAATTCTAGAAAATTGACTGAAATAAAATGGTTAAATGTAATAAAATGAGTATGCAACTTTTATAAAAATTAAAATTCTGTATTATAAACTGTTACACTCTCTACCTTTGTTTCTTTTAACTGCTTCTTCTCAAGTGTTTCCATGTGCTTTGCTCTTTTCTCAGTCAACTTTTTCTCCAACATTCTCTTCTGGTGCAGTTTATTAAGAGTCAGTGAATTTTCCAGCTTCACCATTTGTTTCTCATGTTCCTTCATAATCCTATCTCTCTCTTCATCAGATACTGCAACTTGGTTATCAAGCATTTTCCTGTAATTAAAAGAAATGAACCTCTAACTTATATGTTTATGAAAATGAAGTGACAAATGTCTTCAAAAAGTTTTTGTTGTTGTTTTCTGTCAAATAATCACACATACACAATCTAAATGTTATCTCTCTCAAATCAAGAGAAAGTACAGTTGTAATGCTGATATCCTTAAATATCTTTTAGTAAGTTTCTTGCCCTTCTGTGCTAACCATAAATTTAAAAGCTGATTTTAATTATCAAAAAAAGAAGAATATAAACAAAGGATGGGCTGTCATTATTTTCAGCAAACTTATAATTATAATATCAGAATGCACATATAAAGAATTTATAACTACAATTTAACTTACTTTGTCAGATTCTTTTCATATTCTCTGATTTGTTCTTGCTCCAGCTTTTCTGCTTCTCTTCTTTGTTGCAACTCTTTTTTCTTTTCTTTTAACTTTCTCTGCAAAAAAATTTGAATAGTAAAATATATACATTAATGATCACAATATTACAATCAGACACTGAAGACAATGAAATAAGACAACAAGCAAAAAACATACAGAATTCTGCTATTAAAATTTCCACAAGATGCAAAATTACACAGGTATACACTGTATAAGGTACTAAATGATACTGCCTACGTATTTTTTGTCCATTACATACCTGCAAGTTTTCTTGCTGCTTCTCTCTATCAGTCTGTTGTGCCAGCTCAAGCTTATTCAATTGTAAATTGTGCTGTTTAAGTATCTGTTTGATTTGGTCATCCTCCATGAAGCCGTTATTCTTCAACTTATCCAAAAATGCTTGGCGGTTGGTTTCTAATTGTTCTTTTGTTTCATCTGTGACTTTTTCACGTAATGTCAGAAGTTCTCTTGTCTGTTCCAAGTCAATTTGATTTTCTAGTTCTGTCATCTCAGCCCTGTGTTTTGAAGTCATTATTGCTTGTTTTTCTATTAGAGCTATAGGATCTAAAAATTGAAAAATACACTCAATTTTTACCATATCATCTCCAAAACACTGATTCCATTCAGGATAAAATGGTTGGACAGACACACTTCAGTATTGAACTATAGTTTGAGCTACTCCTTGATAGAATAAATCATTAACCAAAATGAAAAATATTTTCGTGTCTTACTAGTATTTATATCATTGCACTACAGTTTATGATTATTAGAGGCATCCTCCATCAATTTATTCAATATGTGGACACCTTACCAACATTGTCCTGTGCCTGCTCTTCTTTCTGTTTCTTTTGTAATTCATCCAATTCTTGTTGTTGGAATTTTGCCTGAATATAAATGATTACCTTTTATCAGTATAAAAGTATTGTCAATGATGTATATCAAATATTACTCAAATTCAGTTTTTACCTTAGCAGTGAAAAAACAACATTGAAAGTAAATAAGTCAAGTGACAACCACCATGAGATTTAAATAAAAAAAAAAACTCTTGTCACAGATAAAGTCTTTGATAAATCTTAGTCATTATTACCTTCTCAGCCAACTTTTGTTTCTTAGCTTCTCTCAATCTTTTCTTTAACTCAGCTTCCTGTCTTGCACGTTCAGTGTCATATCTGTTCTTGGCTGCTAGCATCTCCCTTGCAATTTCTTCTCTGTATCGTTCTGCATCATCTTCATCCATTATTTCTTGTCTAAAAGATAAAGTAAATTTTCATTAAGTCAAATAGCCTTTTGTATAATAATTGTTTAAACAATTGACTCATTGGTCAAAGACATTTTAAGTCTTTTTACAAGAAATTTACTCTTATCTGTTTACCATTAAGTTTTGATGTCAAGGTTCTTAGTCAGAATGAAAAATTAGACCACAGATATTTCTACCAGCCGAAACAAGCTAGCTAAGGTTTAAATTATACAGCCATTTTTCACATTAACCCAAGAGTTCATTAATGCCTGGAAAATCATTTATGTAACTTTTTTTGCTTATCTGCATTCACCTACAAAAAAATCAACTTACCAAGTGAAACATTTTTTTTTTTTTTGTTCTCTAATTTTTTTAGTTTTCATCATTTTCACCATTTCACATTTAAAAAAGGTAAAAATTGGACAAAACAATCATTCATGCTGTAGCATTTAAAATTCTTTAGACATGTACTTGAGGCACCAATGCCTCACAGGACTGTAAACTAGCCTCTCTATCATCAGCAAGCCTATACTGAAAGGAACATAGACACGCTGATATTATAGGGGTGAGTTTCAGGAGTCATTGGAAACTCAATTTTATATTGGGCAACTTGAATATAATATAAAAAAAGTATACAACTTACTTTTCCAACTTTTGCACCACTTGCAATTCCTGCTCTGCCAACGTGTTCAGCACCTCGCTATACTCATCCTCCTCGCCATCCGCCATACTGGCCAGCATCCTTCGTCTGGTCAACTTCTCCTCCAGTGCGGCTCTCTGTCTGGATACCTCATCATCATAGATTTTATCAACCTTGAAATTTGACGAAAAAATTTAATGAAGCTAATGCCTTGATCAAAAGTCAATATATGTAAAGATTATTCACGTATATCATGTATTTGTCTGGATACCTAATTATCACAGGTGGTATACACCTTCAAAATAACATTAAAACGCTAATATGTTGATTTGAATAGAGTATATAGAATAATATAATGAATAAAATAGTGCTTTACCACTACTGACAATGAGCAAAATTAAAATCATTATCAGTAATTATCAGTTTATTTCCCAAGCTTCTGACAACAGAATTTCTACATTTTTATAGATAGAAGCAACTTTGTACCTTCTCCTGGTTTTTCTGATGCTCATTTATTATCCAGTCAGCTTGCTGTTGGTTCAGTTCTCCTTGTTCAACAATCTGTGACAGACATTGCCTTTGTATATCTTTAACTGCAGCTCTCTTTTTAATAGAAAATTCCTGAAAAAAGAACACACAATATTAAAAACCTATTGAAGTAAACATAAGATACACTGCTTTTATCCGATAAATAACAAGTTCTTTTAAATAAATGTAAGAGGAACATTTTGTTCACTACTCTGTCATAGCAATTTTTTCCTGGGCAATAAGTGTTGATTTTCAATGACTCACAGATCCAATTACAGTTTAAATAATATTTCAAATATATGTGTCCAAATTGGGTTCAGTTTTGGAATACACAGAATGCCTCAAACTGTGTGGTTTGAAAACTTTTACAAACCTTCCTTAGTTTCTCCGACTCCTCATCCTGTTCAAGTTTGAGTAAATGGACTGCATCTTGCTGCTGAATATCATGCTCTTTTCTCAGTATTTCAAACACTTCTGCTTTCTCCTTAAATTGTAAAAATATGATTATTTTAAAATGATGTGGAGTGAGATAAGTGACATTTTAAAAATCTAACATATTTCTTGTTCTGCTTGCCCTGTTGTTTCAATGCTTGAACTCTTTCTTTTTTGGTTGTTCAATAATTCATTATGAAAAAATGAGAGCAAATGCAAAACTGGTCAGTGCATTTGTACCTCAATCCAAATGCCAAAAGATCACAAAGAAATATAAATTTTCATCAGTCATTGTTGAGTTTTAATATTAAATCTATAATACTGAGACAGTGAAATACTGGTGTGTTCCTCTACTGAATTTAATAATTACCTCATCAGAGGCAGTATTCATCTGTCTCTCCAATTTATCCTTTTCTTCTTTTTGTTTCTTCAAAATGATTGTTATTTGTTCCTATGAAATAATTAAAAATGAAACGTAAAACGTACGTATGACTGGAATATATAAAACAGCACACCACAGTAGCATTATCATTGGAAGCAAAAAAATTATACTATGATATATTTTTCAACAAGAACAGTCCATCTGCAAAAATAAGTTTATTCCCCTGCTCTCCCAATTTTAATAAAACTTCTGAAAATTAATCGCCTGGTCAAATTTTAACAAATAAAGTACAAAAAAAGTGAATCCATAATTCTGTGTAGTAAAGCTTGGGAATTTACCTTATTCTTTATACTAATCATTCTAAACACCTCCTCCATGGCAACTTTGTACTGATTCTCCATGCTAGCTTCCATTTCTTTGACTTTCCTCATAAACTCCTTAAGGGCAGCTTCTTCCTTTTGGCGACTGATGTCACCATTTTTTCTCAAACTTTCAATAAGCATGGTTAAAGCTTGCTGTGAAGCTTTGTAACGCTGTTTTTCAATTTCTGTATCAGTTGTGATGGTAGATGCAATGTCAATGCTGAAGAATAAAAAGAAAACAATTCCAGATATATTTCTCTTTCAAAATATTGACATTTTAAATAAAAAAATCCGATGATGACACATGAAATTTCTCACACTTATTTCCAATGTGGTCCTACAGGTATGTGTACAGGGCTTTAAATGTATTATTATTATTATTATTATTATTATTATTATTATTATTATTATTATATGCACAGAGCCAGGGCAGCCCTGTTGGAGCTCAAAGCAGTTCACCTGCCCATGGAAAGAAACACTGATCCATTGGCTGTAGTATTTAATGGATAGGCCTCAATCTAGGTGCATGGGACAGAAGTCTTAATGCACGGCAGTTTCAGATATATTATCATATTTGATTCAGTTCTAGAAGTCCCCACCTGTCTAGAGCTCTGTTCTTCTGCAATGGATCTCCCATACAGTGAATAACAACCAAACTTTCTTCTTCATCAACAGTGCTGAAATAAATAGAAATTAAAAAATTACAAAACAATTTACATATATCAAAATATTCCTGTGAATGAATGATTTTGTATTATGAAATTAATAATAATGCTGACATTGTTGACTGACTGTCTAAATACTGAGCAAAATTTGTAAAAAAAAAAAAAAAAAAACTCTCTAAAAACTTATGTATTAATCAGAAAAATGTATGTTACTGCAGAATTATTAAAATAAATGGTGACTATTTGAAAAATTGCCAATGCCAACCTTTGATCCTTGATATTCTTATAGCCTTTCTTCATGGCTTGGTTTGCATTTGTTATCAGGCCATGCCGCAGCTGTAATCAAAAGAATTTCATTATTTATCTTAAAAGAACGTAAAATACACAAAATGGCAATAAAAAAGATTTGTCAAATACTGCATCTCTTACCATTTACAAAATGGAAAGAAAAGTCTCAAAATATCAACTGATAATGAACCATACAAGTCTTATAACTGTACTGACTTCTGCCTGTCATATATTCTCCCAGCATTCATCACACCTTTAATTAATATTCAAATACAAGTAATGGCCATTTTATTACAATGCCCTGAAAGTTCACTCACATTGTCTGTGGATGGGGCAACTTCATTCCCAATGCCGTTCTTTGCTACTTTAACATACACCACAACTATCAAGAACACAATGGCTGCCCCCAGCAACAAGGCCAGGAAAAATGACAGGGCTGTCAAACCATGCTGATACAGCAACTGAAATAAAAGAAAAAAAATATTAAATAAATGTAATATCAACTACAGAGCAACCCAAGAGTACAGACAAATACAATAAAAATGATCTAAAAGCCAAGAATATTGAGAGACTCTGATTCAGCTGAAATAGTAATTATTTCTTTTACTTCTGAATAACTATTACTCTGATGTGTGTGCTAAAGAGTGACAAAGTAAATAAATCATGAGGCTTTTTTATATATCCCTTACTCCAATGAACACCAATGCATTTGCGTAAGTCAATTTTATTTTTCATTATTTTTTAGAGACTAATGAAACTTAGTTAATTCTTTAAACTTACATTTTTGATTTCATTTACCAGTCTTGTGGCACAAGCATTGGTTGTCAATGTACTGCTCTGTGGGGATACCTGAAAAAGAAGGATGAATACTTAGAGCTGATCATCCAGTTTCAGAACACAGACTTTACACCTTTATGTTCACATTGAGCAATTTCTCTCACTTCATATAGTATTCCATCTGTAGCATTCCATTTTGAGAAAGTTACAATATAATAATGCTATGGGGGACTTGACCAGCTTTTACAAGTTAGTTACTGTTTGGGTGGAAATTCTACCTGGAGCATTTTAAGCTCTTTATCACAATTGCAATATGGTGGACAATGAGAAAGGCATTAGTGTGCTAAAACTAGCTTGTTTATTTAAATAAAAATTTTAATTAAAATTGGCCATGGTAAGTGTGAAAAGGCCGTTTTCGGTTATTTTAAAACATAATATCTGGGCTATTTCATTTCAAAAGCAGTAATTTAAAACCTCTCAAAACAGAACACAACAGATGGGATACTAAGACAAAACATTTAATGTGAAAGGTCTGGTGACTTTCCTCAGCCCACATATAATTTTTAGCATTTTTTTAAATTGTACTAACAGCCCTATAATTTTCTTGTCAAGTAGACCTCACAAAGAATAAGAAAGAAATTTTTGTCAATTTTCTATCTTTTCTCTCTATACTGAAAGACTCAATAAAATAAAGTCCACTTTAAAAAGTCCTTAATAAAAAATACTCCAAGCATTAATATATCACTATCATAACTCACTGTTAGTCCAGTGTAACTTGTTGGGTCATAGCTATCATAGGTCAGAGTTGCTGGGAAGTATGTGTCGCCCAGTTTGACCAAGTCATCTCCATTGTTGCTAGGATATGCTTCATAACTCATGAACATCACATCTCCAACTGCAAAAGATTTTGCAATTAGAAAGGACAACAATAATAGCGATGTTCCTTAAAATACATAGATACGATAATGGACTCATCATAAAATAACATTCACCTGTCAGTCCAACTTTTATTTTTGCAGCCCAACCAAATTCTTTTATTGCATAACTGATGGCCATCTGTAGTTTAGTAATCTCATCAATCAATCAATCATTGGTATTACCTTTTTGGTTTTGTGGTAATCAGTTGAATTAAAATTGTAAATCAATTTGTGTTTGGCATAAATAAAAGCAAATTTGAATTGTCAAATACTAATCAACACACACACATATATATATATATCTTTCATGAATCTCATTCTCCTTGGGATGAAGGATATATAAATATTGTGAATGGCTGGAGTATAAGCACATAAAGTTTTATATTACNAAGATGTTGAAATGGTCATCAAATGTCAAATAAATAGCTTTTTCATAGGGGAGTCCTTGGGTGGTAAAATACAAATCTTTAATTTTTTTATTTTTTCATGAAAATTTTCACCTGCAAACTCACAAAAAGTGCCAATGTGTCCTCCATTATGCATACTACAAGATCATAGTCATTTACTCAAATTAAATTAGATTTTTGAATGTTTTTTGGGGGGAGTCAGATTTTCATGGTACACCGGGCCTCTGAGGCCCGGTTTCAGGGTTTACGTAGGGTTCCATTTCCTTGTGGATGAGGGTTAACAAAAGAGGTTATTTTTTTAATTACCATTCAGTACAGACTTAGTCCAGGTCATTATCTGGTCATTCTGGATAGAGGTCAGCTGAGAGGTTGGAGGGGTCATGGCGGAAAAGAACACTCTCAATTTCCTGGCATCTTCCACAAGTTTGACATTATAAGCAGGACCAGTAGAGGAAGGCGCATGCATCACTGTGACGTTGATAAGAATATGGTCAGGATTGGCAGTGGCATTGTACATCTGGAGACAGACAAATGATATATATTAACCAAGATGTATTGTTGTGTCTAAATTTACTTTTTCCAACTATTTTATTCCTTACCCTGTGCTGTTTTATTAATCAAATGCCCAGCACACTAACTTTTAAATTTTTTTTTTCGACTATTTATACTTCACCTGTGCTGTCTTATTAATGAGAAGTACTGGTTGGGTAATCTGTGTGGAATCGCTGCCAAGCATCATGGAATATCCATTAATCTCCACTGATCCAGTCACTGCCAAGTTGGCTGTTGGTGCATTGGTAGGAACCCAGTAGTGGATCTGGAGAGGAGAAATATAGGATTTTCAAAGTATATGTTTTGATTCATCTAATTTTAGTTTAAGAAGAAAAGCAAACCAGGAAAATCTAATCTCACTCTTCTCTTCTTCTTCTTCTTCTTCTTCTTCTTATTATTATTATTATTGTCATCATCATCATCATCATGATCACTATTATTATTATTATTATTATTATTATTATTATTATTATTATTATTATTATTATTATTATTATTATTATTATTATTATTATTATTAAGTAAAGAATCATCTGTTATCCTGGACAGTATAATAGGATAAAGAATATAAAATCAACACTTACTTTGCCCAGTAAGACAGCATTACTCCCTCTGGATGCAGGGTTGGCTATATTTCCAAGAAAAAATTGTCCAGTGACAGTGACAGGAGCTCTTTTCACACGAGATAACAGCTCTGCATTTCTCCTCTTTCTGCTGCAAGACAGTCCCGTGACCGTGAAACCACTCTCGGTAATATCTGTGGGTCCTGATACTGTGACGCCAGCTGGGTGTGTCAGTGTGCCTTTGACAAATTTGACAGGGACGCAACTGCCGCTGTCAGATGTTATTGCTGAAAAAACAGACATATTATAACATGTTAATTAACTTGCATAATATTAGTCTGTATAGTACAGAATAACATTTCAATTTATTCTACATTTTCAGATGATTTATATGAGTAAATCATATAAAATGCACTAAACATGTGTACAAATAAATGACTGAAGAGACAAAATGTGCTGTGACTTTGGAGAAAGCTGGTTTGGTGAGGCAGAGGTGTATCACTTTCTGAAACAAAATCTTTCAATTTATTCAAAATCATCAATCTATAATTTTACTATGATGACAAAGAAGTCTGCAAAATTTTTTGTTTGTTTGTTTGTTTTTTATTTTGTTTTCATTTTCCATACTGTCAATTCATTACCTAGCTCAAATTTCACATTTTCCAAAACTCCTTTTGGCACTGTGACTCTAGCTGTAGCTTCCACTACTTGGCCAATATTTGTGGTACTTCCCAGTCCCAATGTGCTACTGCCAGTCTGTAGAGTCAGGTCAGCACTGGGCACTGTATCACACAGTACTGACGGCCCAGAGGATGGTATTATGGACCCTAGATATAAATGGATAAATATTAAAACCTTTCAATGATATTATCAGCTGTATTTTGATTTTTAAAAGTGACATACATTATATATTGTGAAGAAGAAAGGTGTCACCAATGCTTTGAAACTCAACATGATATCTACATAACTGATTACGTATATTACATCATAAAAATCAACCATATCAACTTAATACATGTGTCAAAATGTACATAAATTGCCCTCCAGCAAAACTTCTCCCAAAAACTTTAATTAGATCATATGTACTCCATCACAACATAGTTTTTTCCTTTTTAATTTTCACTTCACTACCTATTTAAGGAACATTTTTGGAATTTGCCAATCATTTTCTGACTCTGAAGTGAGTCAGTTGAACAGTTACCACCTTTAAACTAGTCTTCAAAGTTATTCTGTGTTCATATCTATATATTGCAGCAGTTTTTTTTAGGGGGAGGGGGGGAGTATGCAATCTGTTGTAACAAAACACATACAGTTTTCACATACCATCAGCTTTAGCTCCTATGAAACTCAAAGTGGCACAGACTGTAACAGCGCCACCAAAAGCAACACCACCAAGAGGAACAGTATCTTTGACAGTCACATTGACATCAACATTGGCATCCAGGCTCGGACCATGTCCCAGGACACCAATGGAAAATCCAGTAGTGGTTAAGACATTCTCTGATATGGAGAGATTTGTCATTGTTGGAGCCGCCAGGGATGCAGCAAGGAAATTGGTATGTTGACCCAAGTTAACTTTAATCTAAGATAAAAAAATGTATTGAATAATTTTATTAGATATATTTGTTCATGATGTACATGTAATATGTGGCCAAGCAAGTGTTTTTGTACCACTAAGAGAGAGAAGAAGAGAGCAGAACCAGTGGAACCTTTTTGAAGTGTTATCTTAATATCTAAGTATTGATATTTTCCAGTATACCGTTGCTGTTTTCACAGTGACCAGCAGCACAGGTATACTAATCAATAATGATTACATAATACTAAGAACTCTAGTTGACAACAAATACAGATCATTATATAATAAATATGGAGACAGTTTTAACTTAACAATTAGATCAATACAAAAGATTTAATAGATAAACGTATGAGACTAGGATTTTTTCACTGAAAAAAAACAATAACATGTTTACTACACTGTGTAGTAAACATATTATTGTTTTTTTTTCAGTGGTTTTTAATTTGAAGAAAAAAATCCTAGTCTCATAAGTTTATCCATTAAATCGATCTTTTGTATTCAGTGTTAATTCAAAATTTAAAACAAGACACTGTTGTAACACAATTTTGCCTGCATATTTCTTAACCATTTGACAAAGATATAAATGCATTTTAATAAATCGGTGTTCTTAATTCATACAGTACCTGATTAACAGTTAAATTTCCAAGCACAGACTCCGCTGGCCTAACGTAAATCCAAAAGTGTGCTGTATCCCCAGCTTGCACTTTCTGTGGATTGGAGAACACATTGATGAGGACATCCACCTTCCCAATGAACAGAGATTTGGAAGACGACACCATTCCATAATTCAAGGCATCACATGTTGTATTAACTGCAGCAGTGAAGTTATACGATGTTGCTGGTGTCACAGACTCATTTACTCTCAGTACTACAGTAAACTGTAGAGTAGTATTGGAGAAATTCCCATAATCGGCAAAGTTTGATCCCCATGAAAAATCAACAGCTTTTGGTGTAGTTGTAATGGTGGTTGAATTAGCCTGGAGAAAGTCTACACCATCTACAACTTGTACTTCTGTATTCAGCACTTCAACATAGCTTTGAAACGTGACATTGCAGGTTGTAATGTTATTGATATCAGAAGCACAGTTATTGGAATAAGTGAAATGCGGTATCTTCAGGGAAACAACCTCCAAGTCAAAAACACTGGCATCCAGGGCACTGAATGACACATTAAAGGTGACTGTCACATTGTCACCAGTGTAAGCTGCTGGACCTTGTCCAGGCCTCTCCACATAGTCTGTTGATATTTGAACCTGAGACAGGCTAATACAGTCAGTAGAAACATTGCTTGATGACTGAGGTGAAGGCAGGGCATGTGCAATGCTAGTGACTGTGGATACAACTACCAAGGCACCCAGAGTGAAAGTGATTAAACTTGTCCTCAACCCCGACATGTCACTAATAGCAATTTTCTGAAATTATAAATGCATATTATAGGATGGATTTTTGCAATCCCCATCATCTGCAATGTTAATTTAGTCAGCTTGAATGTCAAATCAATAATAATTTATTTCTAAATTCTAGTCTACAAATTTATTATTTTAACGATTGTATTGTATCAGCATTGAATAACTCTCAGTAAAGGTCAGTATAAAAAAAACTAGAAACAAGACATTTGATGGCTAGGGATGGCTACAGTGTACACATGTAACTTTAAGTTTCACTTCACATGAGGTACATGTACTTACATGTAGTAATTGCTTGCAGAGAAGACGTACTTACCAATTTTCACTTTCACCAGTCCCTTGCGTACGCCAAGCAATATATTTGCGTAATATCTATAAATGTATATTAGTTTCTTTTGCTTCCATAAAAGTGCTCAAAAGGTCAAAAATGTGTGAGATTGCACAATAATAACAATGGGCTATGTTGATCGCCAGTTGTGGAAACCATACTTCCGAGCACTTGTGCGTAGCCGTTTCAAGTTCTCCAATGCCTTGCCTCTCCACAGTGTTCCATTCACGTTATTTGGTGATCGCGAGACGTCACACCATGGCGACGGATACACTGCTCAGCAGTAACGAGTAAGGTTTTGACAGGTCTTTCAAGTTGGTATTATTTTAACTATTAAAAAATTACGTGACAACCCAATATCTGCCAGATTTATAAATTAGCATGTACTTATAGAAATAAAAATCAATTTAAGGTATCAAAACTGCTCAGTTACTTATTATTTGATTTCAGATTATTAAATCCGCAACCTAGTTTACCAACCTCGATTCAGTGCTGTGGAACATATTCTTATATTACCACAAATAATGAGACTTAGTCCAAGGTGTCGTTGAAAACAGAAGTTAAAATGTCGGGCACCTGTGTGTCCATCACGATAGACCAGGAGCAGGACACTTGGGAGGCGGATAACCTTTGGATAGGCTTAGCTTTCTTGTTGGGTTTTATAGTTGGCGCGGCTATTGCTGGCGCTTGTGCCAAAGTGTGTATTAAAAGCTGGAGCAAAAAGAAGGTAGGCTTTATTGTTTTTTGTGAACTTCTTCATCATGCTGGGGTTTTGTGCGGTAGAAAAATACTGATACCAGTGTAATACTGGGGGAAAACAGATCAGTCAAGTCCCTTCCTTTTGCACTTTTACTCTTAAAGCAGTTAACTTAAAGCATGCATGCTGAAATTTTTTTAAAAAATTTTAAAGGCAAACAAACAGCTGCACTTGTGTGCTTTCAGCTTAATTTTATAAAAAAATGCAAAAAAAAAAATTGTAATCTATATAGTACAAAGATTAATACTAGTAAATGAAAAAAATGAATAAATAAGATTAAAATGTAAGCTCAAGAATTACATGTTACTACACATATGCCCACCACATCACACCAGCTATTTTGTATTGTGACAAGTACTACTTGAGATCTGGCTGTAATATCTCCCTACTAGGAATAATGTCATTACATGCCATCAAATATAAACACAGCATGTCAGGGTGTCATTCATATCTTTCAGCAACAAGATGCAAAGGAAAGACAGATGTTATTGCAGTATGATAACACATTCTCAGGAGCTCCACAAGAAGAAGATGATGAAGAAGAAGTTATTGAAGTGGTTACGTACGAAGTTGTTGACCCCTACGCACAAGCTAGTGATAAAGGAATGACTGAAGCCTTGGTCCAATCCAATAGGTATTTGTTGTGATTTCAAAACATTTTCAACTTTTAAAAATTGTTCTCATGCTGTGGAAAGTTTAAGTGAAAGTGTTTTATGTACTTTATGTTGTTAACAATTGTAAATGTTCTTATTCTTCATACATGGAGGTTTTATCACTTAAAAGGAAATTTAAATATATATATTAAAAGAATATGTAACCTTTTATGACTTGGATTGTCTTCTGGCATACTCACTGGTAGTTTGTTGTACTGTATGTCAATTTAAACAGAATTTCAAAATCAAATTTTTTTTCTTGAACACATAAAAAATTCAGTAAATTTGATGGCTTTATAATGCATGATTTATTGATATATAGTGAAGCAGCAGAAGTGAAACTTGGTGAACAAGACCTGGCAGCTATCTTAAGTATGGAAAATGAGATGATCCAGCAGAGGGCAAATGTACGTATCATTTTATGGGGGTCCTGTTGGCATACTTGTTCTTAAACCATAAAACTGGTCTCTTACCAAATACATGATGAATTGAAAATAGTTGTTGGGAAAAAATTGTCCATATTAGATTATTAACCATATATTTGATAATTATGTCTTATCGCTATCAGTTTTACATAAAGGGGTGGTGCGTATGAAAACTGATCCTACTTATAAGGAAAATAATAATATTGTGATAAATTATTACAACCTTGCATGACCTTGAAAACTGATAAGAAAAATGTCCAGTTACTCAATTTTATGACTTCTTGTTGATGAAAAATTATTTGTTTGATTGATATTAATCCTTTCACATTGTATTCATTATAATTTATGAGATGTACTGTTGGCTACAATAAATTCTCTTTCTCTTTGTTAATTTTGTTGTTAATTTTCATTCCAGAGTTTTGCATACCTGCTGCAAATTCTTCTGAATCAGCTGGTGACAGCTGGAAGGGTGGCTGCAGAAACTGTTCCGACTTTGATTCTGATGGTGCAAACTGATTTAATGCAGGCAATGGAAATCAGTCTGCAGGAAGTAAAAGAGGAGGAAAAGGTAAGCCTTGCAAATGGTGGAATGTTCAGAAAATTTCAAAGGGGTTTTTATCATGTTTTTAAATATTTATAATATCAACAGCATAGATTGTTAATTTAACATTGTCTTCTGATTATCTGGAAAATGATTCAGATATACAGCTTTAACATTGCATAAATGTTTTAATTTAAATGATATTATATTCCAGAAATTGAGAGCAGATCCCAAACTGGCAGACAAACCTGAAGAACTGAATCAGCAAATAGATGCTCTTCACCCCAAGATGCTACAAAAGATGGTAAACATTTATTCAGAAAACTTGAACATTCTAACAATTGTTAATAGTTTTTGTACAGCTTATGCCACACACTATCTAGTATTTTCAAATAAATTTTTATCTTGTTGTTTTTTTTTTATTTATGTAAAATTAATGTGTTAAATGGCACTTCAAATATGATATAAGATATTTGTTTTAATTAAATAGTATTGATTTCTGTTAGCTCTCATACATCAACAAAGAAGAGGAGAAAGTGAGAGAAGAATTGAGAAAACTGCCTGAGCTGAAGGAAGATGATGTAAGCCATTTTTTAAATTAAATATTCCAAAAATTTGTTTCAGAAATATAATACTTTTGTTAACCACTGTATTGCTTATCAGATCTGTACATTTTAACCAGATTTGCCTGGCACAAAATATACAAGATAAATGTATATTATACTTCATGTAATGAAAATGTAAGTTCACTGTATTTCCTGTTTAATTTAAATAGTTATTGAATATTTTGCATTAGGAGATAGTTGTTAAAATGTTTAGTGATGTTAATTTTGAATGTTTTTTAGGAGTGTTTATTAAACAAATATCTTTTGGAGTTTAGGTAGAGGCCATTTTAACAAAACTCACTGAAGATGTCACAAGAGCTGAAGAGAAATTCAAGGAGGAACAAGCCAGACAAGCACTAGTGAGTTACCTTTTCTGGAGTTTAATACAAAACTAAATGTAAAGAATACAACCATACTGTCATATATTTGGTTAACTAGTTTATGTGCAAATAATTTCAGTAAAACAGAACGGAGAGAATTAGGACCATATGGTTATTGCTGCATGTTTTTTGTTTGCTTGTTTGTTTGTTTGTTTTGCTTTGTTTTGAATATGCTCCTTATTTATTTATTTATTTATTTATTTATTTATTTATTTATTTATTTATTTATTTATTTATTTATTTATTTATTTATTATTATTGGCTTCTAAAAGACTTCTCTCAAAAGATGGTTTACATGTAATTTTTGGCAGTTGTTTTAAAAATGTTTGATAAATTTACAGTACCTTGAAGACAGAATGGCAAGGAGAAGAGAAAATGCAGCAAGACTTTTAGAGAAAAAAGCAGAAAAGACTGATGACATTAAAACCCAAGTAGAATCTTTTGATGCCACTTTAACCAATATGGTTGAAAATGGTCAATTGATTGAGAGGCAGAAAGATGAGCTTATGAAAGAGTACCTGGAAAATTTAGAGAAGGCTCAAACAGAATATCAAACAGGTATTACATATTTTGGTCATTACAGTATTCTAAAAGTTATCAAGATGTGTGTTTGTATTTTTTTTTCATTGGTAGTTTGAGATGTCAAAAAGTGAGGGTAGGTGAGAAGCTGTTTTTCCCCTTATCAAAATACAATGATTATGATCTTAGTTTGATAATAGGACCAACTGGTCATAATCAACTGAATCAGGAATTATGTGCACATGCACCAGCATTCAGAGAGAATCTTTTGTTCTTTTTTCTAGTTAAATTTATTTCAGATTGAATTAAGTACAATTTATACTAGAACATATTCTGGTTACAGAGGTTGCACAAAATGAACAGAAGCTTGCTGAAAGGTTAAGAAAACTGAGAGAAGAGAAAATGAATGAATTACACAAACAGCAGGCACAGGAAAAAGAAGAGTTCTTGAAGAAAGCTGGAAATTCACAGAAGGCAGTTCCATTTATAAATGTGAGTATCTTCCTATATATTATTTGCACATTGAAACATTTTAATGTAGTAACAATATTCATTTATCTAGGCAAATAAAATTTGAAGAAAACCAGAAATTAAGCAGGTTGACACAGTTTTAACATAATAGAAAATGTGTCAAAAGGAGAAAATGTAGAAACTTCTTTGTTTAGAAAACCAAATAATTTATTTTTAAATTAGAATTATTAAAATATGCAAAAATAGATAATAGAATTTAACAACCATAGTAGATAATATATATGTATGTATTTATATAATTTTCTACTGCAGGCTTATGCAGAAATGGTTGAGAAGCAGCATATGGATAGAGAAATGTTAGCAGAAGAGTTGGACAAACAGGAGGTAGAAGAGATGGAAACGGAAGAAGTGGTATGGTTACTATTAAACCCATTGTTGGTTGTGAATAAATATTAGTGCCATTTAAGTGTTGTATATGCACAAAAATGTGTGCACGCACATACACGCACAGACACTAAGTTGATATCTGAAAGTTTATTTTGGGATTAGATATAGTCTGTTCATTTGTATTATAAAAAGATATCATGATGAACACAGAACACAACAGTGTTCTACTTGTACTTATCACAGCAGAATATACTTGTGTGCTTTTTTTCAGAACTTACAGGAAAGAATAAATGAGAAATTAGAAAAGGAAAAAGAAAATTTCATGGAACGTTTAGAAACAAAAGCAGAATTGTCAGAGGCAGATGTGAAGAAAGTTCTTAGACTTCACCAGCAGCAGATGGAACACATGAACAGTAAGTTTCAGTTGTTATA